TTGTTGAAAATTCTAAGAATTCCAACTCCAAAGAAATCCATAAGAAACGATCGTCATGAAACTCGCACCTTGCAAAACGCATATCTTCTGTGAAAATCCATTTACTGTTGCTTAACATTCGGGCTATCTGGTTTCCCGGTGTTTTGCATGCGGAAAACAACGTTGAAAAATACGGCAACCGATATTGACGGATCGGCGTGGTAGGGAAACCGATATAGGTAGACAAAGAAATCGGTGCACCTGCACATGGGAACCAATGTAGGTGGACACGGAAACCGATGCAACAACAAGTATAAGGAGATACGGAAACCATTATGGGAAGATCCGGAAATTAGTGTCGGTAGATGCGGAAACCGTTGTTTGGATACGGACCTTGTTGTTTGGATACCGAATCCGTTTCCATTCAGACACTTCCGTAAACTTTTGCGAAAGTCTCCAGTGTCCCGGCAACGAGCGTCGCAGCAAACGCCATGAGAGCGCTTCCGGATACACCCAGTTACACCCAGTTACACCCAATTACACCTAGTTACACCTAGTTACACCTAGTTACACCTAGTTACGCCTAGTTACACCTAGTTACACCTAGTTACACCTAGTTACACCTAGTTACGCCCAGTTACACCTAGTTACACCTAGTTACACCTAGTTACACCTAGTTACCCTCAGTTTCCCTCAGCTACCCGAGTTAAGGCATGACGCAATCAGTCTGAATCGGAGTGCAGGCATTCGAACCTGGAACCTCGGTCCTCGATCCTCGCCTCGGTCATCGATCCTATCCTCGGTCCTCGATCCTGGCTTCATTTTTCAAGACAACCTCGCCGACACATCGGCGATACATCGGCGATACATCGCCGATGCATCGGCGACATCGGCGATGCATCGACGACGCCAGCGCGGAGAAAATCGAGCTCCACATCGGGCCGCATCGCCGATGCATCGACGATGCGGCGCGATCCTCCAACCCCATCTGCTCGGACCCAGGGGGGCCAGGAAGAGGGGGTGGTGCGCATTGGGGCCAAAAGCATGGGGCGCGGACGAGCGGGGGCCTTGGAGCGTGTTGAACAAAGAAGCAGAAGAAGAAAATCAAAAAGGTTAATAATAATAATGTCAATAATAATGATAAGAGTGCTAAGAATGATACGAATTATACGAACATAATGATTATACTCATACTCTGATGATCATAGACATCACAACTACTGATAATACGTATAGAAAAATACATATGTTACGAATAGAAATGCGAATACGAATGCGAGTACAAATGCGAATGCGAAGAGCAATCATGATAACAAGAAAACAATACCAAATACAACATAACAATAAACAATGGTAACCATCAGTGTTATGACGAAGAGGGCGAATAATACGAATAAGAAAAGAACATAATAATAATGTAAATATAGGAAAATCATAATAATAATAAGAAGAAGAAGAAGAGGAAGAGGAATAAGGAGAAGACGAAAAAGAAGAAGAGGAAGAGGAGGAGGAGGAAGAAGAAGAAGAAGAAGAAGTCACAGTCCTGACCCCCTGTCGGGCGCCTGGTGTTTTCAGGACGCCACACCCGGTCTCCGGCGGCCTCTCAAGGGACGATCCAGGCACACTTGGGGGGCCGCTCCTGGCGAGGCGCGGCTGCGGCTGAGCATCCGGAGGCTGGCAAAACCCCAGTGAGCCCACGAAAACGCCAGCAAAAAACCTCCCTGGACGAGGCCCTACACCTTGCGAGTGATGGGAAACGCAATTTTCCTTCAAAAACCGCACTCAATGAGCCACAATAGCGTTTCCCATAACTCTAAGCTATGGGAACCGCAATCCCGGACGACTGCCGCCCTGTAGTCCCTCTCTGGCGCCCCCGATGATGCCTCGATTGCGCCTGGAAATCTGGGCCCCTCCCGTTTCTGTCGGCCCCTCGGACCCCTCATGTGGGCGGTCTCGGAGACCTTGAGCCCAAAATTGTTTTCATCTCTTGGGGGGACATCTTCTACTTCCGACGACCTTCCGCCGCCCTTCCGCTGCCTTCCGCCGAGGAAGATATGACAACTCCTTCGACCCTTGAAGGCAAGGCCCTTTCTGATACGCCCAATGTGGCGTTTGCAGCCTGCCGGATAGTTCTCTGGAAAACCTGGCCTCGTGGCGACAAGGACGCGCTGGCAGTCCCAGCCAAGGCCCAAAACCGCCAAGAAGCCTACGGCCAGGGACTTTTGCTGAGCGTGTCGCAGCGGCGCCCCTGGCGGCACGCTATGCCTTGGCGAGCTGATAGCGCGTCGCTCCGCTCCGTGGGGCGGGAGGCTGGCAGGAGCTCGAGGAGATGACGCTGTGCGCTGTGGGACCGGATCGTGCTTAGCATGCGGCGCCGCAGCGTGGTGAGCCAGAACCGGCGGCGCCACGCGCCTCCTCCTCGTCCTCTTCCTCCTCCTCCTCCTCCTCATCCCCCTCAACATCACCACCACCATCCTCCTCCTCCTCCTCTTCCTCCTCTTCCTCTTCCTCGTTGTCCTCGACCCATCATGTTGTTCACCCCCGCTGTCCGTCACAATCATATTCATCGCCTCGTCGTCATACGCATCGCCATCATCAGCATCATCATCATCATCAGCATCATCATCATCACCATCAGCATCATCATCATGAGGTCGCGACCCCGGAAAGCCTGACGCCCCGAAGCACGAGGGGAGGAGGAGGAGCAACAACAACAGGAACAGGACACGGATAAGGGAGGGGGGAGGAAGGAACATGAGGGAGGCAGAGCAGCGAGGAAGGATGGCGGAAGAAGATGGGAAAGGAGGGGGCGAAGGGAGGTGTTGACACAGGGGCGCCGCTGTCCCCCGCAGCTTTCCCTCAGTTTCGTCTCAGTTTCTTGCGTCAGAAAGAGGTTGCAGTTGTAGGGTACCAAGCCGCAAACGCAGTGCCAGGAAAACTAAATGCAACCGAGAGGAAACTGAGCGCAACTGACGGAAACTGAAAGGAGGGGGCGAAGGGAGGTGTCGACAAAGGGGCGCCGCTGTCCCCCTCAGTTTTCCCTCAGTTTCGTCTCAGTTCCTTGCGTCAGAAAGAGGCTGCAGTTGTAGGATACCAAGCCGCAAACGCAGCGCCAGGAAAGCTAAATGCAACCGAGAGGAAACTGAGTGTAACTGAGGGAAACTGAGTGTAACTGAGGGAAACTGAGTGTAACTGAGGGAAACTGCATGTAAGTGAAGGAAACTGAGTGTGACTGAGGGAAACTGAGTGTAACTGAGGAAACTGAGTGCAACTGAAGGAAACTGAGTGTAACTGAAGGGAACTGAGTGTAACTGAGGGGTCCGAACCGGCTCCGTCCGACGCCGCGCGCGGCCACAATGAAAGCAGTGTCCCGGCAACGAGCGTCGCAGCAAACGCCATGAGAGCGCTTCCGGATACACCCAGTTACACCCAGTTACACCCAATTACACCTAGTTACACCTCGTTACACCTAGTTACACCTAGTTACGCCCAGTTACACCTAGTTACACCTAGTTACACCTAGTTACACCTAGTTACGCCCAGTTACACCTAGTTACACCTAGTTACACCTAGTTACACCTAGTTACCCTCAGTTTCCCTCAGCTACCCGAGTTAAGGCATGACGCAATCAGTCTGAATCGGAGTGCAGCATTCGAACCTGGAACCTCGGTCCTCGATCCTCGCCTCGGTCATCGATCCTATCCTCGGTCCTCGATCCTGGCTTCATTTTTCAAGACAACCTCGCCGACACATCGGCGATACATCGGCGATACATCGCCGATGCATCGGCGACAATCGGCGATGCATCGACCGACGCCAGCGCGGAGAAAATCGAGCTCCACATCGGGCCGCATCGCCGATGCATCGACGATGCGGCGCGATCCTCCAACCCCATCTGCTCGGACCCAGGGGGGCCAGGAAGAGGGGGTGGTGCGCATTGGGGCCAAAAGCATGGGGCGCGGACGAGCGGGGGCCTTGGAGCGTGTTGAACAAAGAAGCAGAAGAAGAAAAACAAAAAGGTTAATAATAATAATGTCAATAATAATGATAAGAGTGATAATAATGATACGAATTATACGAACATAACGATTATACTCATACTCTGATGAGCATAGACATCACAACTACTGATAAAACGTATAGAAAAATACATATGATACGAATAGGAATGCGATTACGAATGCGAGTACACATACGAATGCGAAGAGCAATCATGATAACAAGAAAACAATACCAAACACAACATAACAAGAAACACTGGTAACCATCAGTGTTATGACGAAGAGGGCGAATAATACGAATAAGAAAAGAATAATAGTGTAAATATAGGGAAATCATAATAATAAGAAGAAGAGGAAGAGGAATAAGGAGAATACGAAAAATAAGAAGAAGAGGAAGAGGAGGAGGAGGAAGAAGAAGAAGAAGAAGTCACAGTCCTGACCCCGTCGGGCGCCTGGTGTTTTCAGGACGCCACACCCGGTCTCCGGCGGCCTCTCAAGGGACGATCCAGGCACACTTGGGGGGCCGCTCCTGGCGAGGCGCGGCTGCGGCTGAGCATCCGGAGGCTGGCAAAACCCCAGTGAACCCACGAAAACGCCAGCAAAGAACCTCCCTGGACGAGGCCCTACACCTTGCGAGTGATGGGAAACGCAATTTTCCTTCAAAAACCGCACTCAATGAGCCACAATAGCGTTTCCCATAACTCTAAGCTATGGGAACCGCAATCCCGGACGACTGCCGCCCTGTAGTCCCTCTCTGGCGCCCCCGATGATGCCTCGATTGCGCCTGGAAATCTGGGCCCCTCCCGTTTCTGTCGGCCCCTCGGACCCCTCATGTGGGCGGTCTCGGAGACCTTGAACCCAAAATTGTTTTCATCTCTTGGGGGGACATCTTCTACTTCCGACGACCTTCCGCCGCCCTTCCGCTGCCTTCCGCCGAAGAACATATGACAACTCCTTCGACCCTTGAAGGCAAGGCCCTTTCTGATACGCCCAATGTGGCGTTTGCAGCCTGCCGGATAGTTCTCTGGAAAACCTGGCCTCGTGGCGACAAGGACGCGCTGGCAGTCCCAGCCAAGGCCCAAAACCGCCAAGAAGCCTACGGCCAGGGACTTTTGCTGAGCGTGTCGCAGCGGCGCCCCTGGCGGCACGCTATGCCTTGGCGAGCTGATAGCGCGTCGCTCCGCTCCGTGGGGCGGGAGGCTGGCAGGAGCTCGAGGAGATGACGCTGTGCGCTGTGGGACCGGATCGTGCTTAGCATGCGGCGCCGCAGCGTGGTGAGCCAGAACCGGCGGCGCCACACGCCTCCTCCTCCTCCTCCTCCTCCTCCTCCTCCTCCTCCTCCTCCTCCTCCTCCTCCTCCTCCTCCTCCTCCTCATCCCCCTCACCATCACCACCGCCGCCATCATCCTCATCCTCCTCTTCCTCCTCTTCCTCTTCCTCGTTGTCTTCGACCCATCATGTTGTTCACCCCCGCTGTCCGTCGCAATCATATTCATCTCCTCATCGTCCTAACCAATCGCCAATCATCAGCATCATCAATCATCATCAGCATCATCTCATCCCAATCAGCATATCATCAATGAGGTCCGCGACCCCGAAGCCTGAAACGCCGAAAGCACGAGGGGAGAGGAGGAGAAACAACGACACCTGCAGGAAACCACGGATGGGGTCGAAAGGACTATCGTATGGAATTGTTCAGAACTTTGTCGTATTTACTGTAAAGATGTCAGCAAAAGAGGGGGGGGGGGGGGGGGGGGGGGAAAAAAAAAAAAAAAAAAAAAAAAAAAAAAAAGGAAAAAAAAAGGAACATGAGGGAGCAGAAGCACGAGGAGGATGGCGAAAAAGATGGGAAAGGAGGGGGCGAAGGGAGGTGTTGACACAGGGGCGCCGCTGTCCCCCGCAGCTTTCCCTCAGTTTCGTCTCAGTTTCTTGCGTCAGAAAGAGGTTGCAGTTGTAGGGTACCAAGCCGCAAACGCAGTGCCAGGAAAGCTAAATGCAACCGAGAGGAAACTGAGCGCAACTGACGGAAACTGAAAGGAGGGGGCGAAGGGAGGTGTCGACAAAGGGGCGCCGCTGTCCCCCTCAGTTTTCCCTCAGTTTCGTCTCAGTTCCTTGCGTCAGAAAGAGGCTGCAGTTGTAGGATACCAAGCCGCAAACGCAGCGCCAGGAAAGCTAAATGCAACCGAGAGGAAACTGAGTGTAACTGAGGGAAACTGAGTGTAACTGAGGGAAACTGAGTGTAACTGAGGGAAACTGCATGTAAGTGAAGGAAACTGAGTGTGACTGAGGGAAACTGAGTGTAACTGAGGGAAACTGAGTGCAACTGAAGGAAACTGAGTGTAACTGAAGGGAACTGAGTGTAACTGAGGGGTCCGAACCGGCTCCGTCCGACGCCCGGGGCGCAGCAGGGCCACATGAACGCCTCCACCCTTTCAATTTTAAATGCGATATGATGTCCCCGCAACGGCGTCGCAGCAAACGCATGAGAGCCGCTTCGGATACACCCAGTTACAACCCAGTTACACCCAATACACCTAGTTACACCCAGTTACACCCAGTTACACCTAGTTACACCTAGTTACACCTAGTTACACCTAGTTACACCTAGTTACGCCCAGTTACACCTAGTTACACCTAGTTACACCTAGTTACGCCCACTTACACCTAGTTACACCTAGTTACCCTCAGTTTCCCTCAGCTACCCGAGTTAAGGCATGACGCAATCAGTCTGAATCGGAGTGCAGGCATTCGAACCTGGAACCTCGGTCCTCGATCCTCGCCTCGGTCATCGATCCTATCCTCGGTCCTCGATCCTGGCTTCATTTTTCAAGACAACCTCGCCGACACATCGGCGATACATCGGCGATACATCGCCGATGCATCGGCGACATCGGCGATGCATCGACGACGCCAGCGCGGAGAAAATCGAGCTCCACATCGGGCCGCATCGCCGATGCATCGACGATGCGGCGCGATCCTCCAACCCCATCTGCTCGGACCCAGGGGGGCCAGGAAGAGGGGGTGGTGCGCATTGGGGCCAAAAGCATGGGGCGCGGACGAGCGGGGGCCTTGGAGCGTGTTGAACAAAGAAGCAGAAGAAAAACATCAAAAAGGTTAATAATAATAATGTCAATAATAATGATAAGAGTGCTAAGAATGATACGAATTATACGAACATAATGATTATACTCATACTCTGATGATCATAGACATCACAACTACTGATAATACGTATAGAAAAATACATATGATACGAATAGGAATGCGAATACGAATGCGAGTACAAATGCGAATGCGAAGAGCAATCATGTTAACAAGAAAACAATACCACATACAACATAACAATAAACAATGGTAACCATCAGTGTTATGACGAAGAGGGCGAATAATACGAATAAGAAAAGAACATAATAATAATGTAAATATAAGAAAATCATAAGAAGAAGAAGAAGAAGAGAAGAAGAAGAGGAAGAGGAATAAGGAGAAGACGAAAAATAAGAAGAGGAAGAGGAGGAGGAGGAGGAAGAAGAAGAAGAAGAAGTCACAGTCCTGACCCCCTGTCGGGCGCCTGGTGTTTTCAGGACGCCACACCCGGTTTCCGGCGGCCTCTCAAGGGACGATCCAGGCACACCTGGGGGGCCGCTCCTGGCGAGGCGCGGCTGCGGCTGAGCATCCGGAGGCTGGCAAAACCCCAGTGAGCCCACGAAAACGCCAGCAAAGAACCTCCCTGGACGAGGCCCTACACCTTGCGAGTGATGGGAAACGCAATTTTCCTTCAAAAACCGCACGCAATGAGCCACAATAGCGTTTCCCATAACTCTAAGCTATGGGAACCGCAATCCCGGACGACTGCCGCCCTGTAGTCCCTCTCTGGCGCCCCCGATGATGCCTCGACGGCGCCTGGAAATCTGGGCCCCTCCCGTTCCTGTCGGCCCCTCGGACCCCTCATGTGGGCGGTCTCGGAGACCTTGAACCCAAAATTGTTTTCATCCTTGGGGGGACATCTTCTACTTCCGACGACCTTCCGCCGCCCTTCCGCTGCCTTCCGCCGAGGAAGATATGACAACTCCTTCGACCCTTGAAGGCAAGGCCCTTTCTGATACGCCCAATGTGGCGTTTGCAGCCTGCCGGATAGTTCTCTGGAAAACCTGGCCTCGTGGCGACAAGGACGCGCTGGCAGTCCCAGCCAAGGCCCAAAACCGCCAAGAAGCCTACGGCCAGGGACTTTTGCTGAGCGTGTCGCAGCGGCGCCCCTGGCGGCACGCTATGCCTTGGCGAGCTGATAGCGTGTCGCTCCGCTCCGCGGGGCGGGAGGCTGGCAGGAGTTCGAGGAGATGACGCTGTGCGCTGTGGGACCGGATCGTGCTTAGCATGCGGCGCCGCAGCGTGGTGAGCCAGAACCGGCGGCGCCACACGCCTCCTCCTCGTCCTCCTCCTCCTCCTCCTCCTCCTCCTCCTCCTCCTCCTCATCCCCCTCAACATCACCACCACCATCCTCCTCCTCCTCCTCCTCTTCCTCCTCTTCCTCTTCCTCGTTGTCCTCGACCCATCATGTTGTTCACCCCCGCTGTCCGTCACAATCATATTCATCGCCTCATCGTCATACGCATCGCCATCATCATCAGCATCATCATCATCAGCATCATCATCATCACCATCAGCATCATCATCATGAGGTCGCGACCCCGGAAAGCCTGACGCCCCGAAGCACGAGGGGAGGAGGAGGAGCAACAACAACAGGAACAGGACACGGATAAGGGAGGGGGGAGGAAGGAACATGAGGGAGGCAGAGCAGCGAGGAAGGATGGCGGAAGAAGATGGGAAAGGAGGGGGCGAAGGGAGGTGTTGACACAGGGGCGCCGCTGTCCCCCGCAGTTTTCCCTCAGTTTCGTCTCAGTTTCTTGCGTCAGAAAGAGGTTGCAGTTGTAGGGTACCAAGCCGCAAACGCAGTGCCAGGAAAGCTAAATGCAACCGAGAGGAAAACTGAGCGCAACTGACGGAAACTGAAAGGAGGGGGCGAAGGGAGGTGTCGACAAAGGGGCGCCGCTGTCCCCCTCAGTTTTCCCTCAGTTTCGTCTCAGTTCCTTGCGTCAGAAAGAGGCTGCAGCTGTAGGATACCAAGCCGCAAACGCAGCGCCAGGAAAGCTAAATGCAACCGAGAGGAAACTGAGTGTAACTGAGGGAAACTGAGTGTAACTGAGGGAAACTGAGTGTAACTGAGGGAAACTGCATGTAAGTGAAGGAAACTGAGTGTAACTGAGGGAAACTGAGTGTAACTGAGGGAAACTGAGTGCAACTGAAGGAAACTGAGTGTAACTGAAGGGAACTGAGTGTAACTGAGGGGTCCGAACCGGCTCCGTCCGACCCGCGCGCGGCCACAATGAAAGTCTCGGAGATTTGACAGAATGTGCGGTTCGCAATCACAATCGCCAAGTGGGCACGCCCATGCAAATCCGGCGGATGAATCGTACATGTCATGCCCATCCGTCTTTGCCAACGGTGCAAACCCTAAATCAACACAACTTCATCCATGCACAAATGCACCCAAGCTTTTTGTCCCGCTCCCAGAGGCAAATAGCGAATCCATTTGCATGTGATTTCCTTTGGGACGGCCGAAACGCATGCAAATGCCCTCCGTATTTGTACCTTTTGCGAAGTTTGTTGTCGGATTTGATTTTTGGTGATTATGCTTCTGAAATTGCAACCCATATGAGACAATCCTTCCAGCCCGTAACTTCGCCTAGCCGGATTCTGGGTTCCGCGCTTCGTAGACATAACGGGCCCATCATTGTTTCAAGAAGTGCCGTATCAATTGCATATTCGAAAATGATGGGATCAATTTTGGCATCACGTTGCCGCAACCTTTTCAATACATCGTGATATTGCAAAGATTGTGCAGCCTAACCTCACAACGATACCAACAATGTGGTTTGTGATGCTGCCCGTGCAATCTCGCGCCCCATGCCACGCGTGATGGAATATGGATCGTACTATTGCTTAAAGCTTTTCATCGTGGGCTTCAACCAAACGGGCGGGCCAATTCGGTAAGCGTCGTGCGTGCATATGGTTAACCTTTGGCATAATAGTTTCAAACAAATAGCCGGACAGCTTGCGTATCGGAGGGCTTCGTAAAATAAATAAGCAGCTGCGTCTCTGAAAATTATGTTAGCACCACGATTAAGCGTGGATGCAGGGGTACCATGCGAAATAAAACCCACGCCAC